TAATTGTGGTAATTCATGCAATTAATGCATTTTTTAATTGAAAAAAGAGCCAGACATAGAAGAGAACATACAGTATGATTCCATTTGTATAAATATCAAAAATCAGCACAACTAATTTCTGGTGTTGTAAGTCAGGATAGAGGTTACTCTTAGAATGTGTCACAAGCGACCTTGTGGCATTGCTGGTCATGTTCCGTTTCTTGATCTGTGTACAGGTTAAATAGATGAGTTCACTGTGTAGCCTATGATTTGTATGCTTTTCTGTAAGTTTGATGTATTTTAATAAGAAATTGACAAGATGCACACAAAAGCCTGCACATAAGTGTGTTTATATCAGCTTTATTCATAACTGCCGAGATTCAGAAGTAATCAAGATGTCCTTCAATAGGTAAATGGATAAATAAACTGTGTTACATCAGACGAAAGAATACTATTCAGTGCTAAAAAGAAAGAAGCTGTCAAGCCATGAAAAGACATGGCAGAACCCTAAAGGCAAATAGTAGTTGAAAGAAACCCATCTGAAAAGGCCACAAACTCTATAATGATCCCAACTACAGCAGAGCCTTGGATTGCGGGTAACTTGAGTGTTCCACAGGATGAGCAAACATTTCTAATACATTTTAACTTGATAAACGAGTGATGTCTTGCAGTCAAGTAGTATGTGACGCTGAACATCACATGATCACAACTGAGCCAATGGTTCTCTCACTCTCTCTCTCTTTTTCACTGCAGGATTGTGGGTGATCATCTCCCATGCTCGGATGCTCGGTCTCAGGCAGAAATCAGTGATGTTTCGGAACGTTGGAACGTGCCCACAACGGACACTACTGTATTTTTGGTCACTTCAAAGCACCTATGGACAGTCCTTTGCTTTTTCATACAAGAGTAAGCTTAGGAATGCTTTGCTTCATTCCAGGTCATTAGATAGGTTCCTTTGTAAAGTTGCACAAAACGAAAAAGATTCCATTGAGCCAACAGATAGCAGTGATTCTCTTAGTGATATGAAAATTGTCCTACACAGTAACCCTCCTCTCTCTTGTCTCCCTCACACCAGCCATGAAGGTGTTCAAAGGTATGTGTGGGTTAATTTGTTTATTTTTCTTTATATTTTGTATTTTCTCTATTATTTTGTATTATATTACAGCTTTGTAATTATTTTTATATGAATATTTTTAGGTTGTGGAACAAATAATCTGAGTTTCCATTATTTCTTATGGGGAAATTCACTTTGATCTACAAGTGCTTTGGATTACAAGCATGTTTCCAGAACAAACTATGCTCACAAACCAAGGTTTTACTGTACATAACATTCTGGAAAGGGCAAAAACATGGACACAGTAAAAACATCGGTGGTTACCAGGGATTAAAGAGGAGGGAGGGATGAAGAGGCAGAGCACAGAGGATTCTGAGGACAGTGAAAATGCCTTGTATTATATTCTAATGGTGGATGTATACATTTGTCCGAACTCATAGAATGTACCTACCGCTCATGAGTGGACCCTAACGTAAACTGCGGACCTTGGGTGCCAATGATGCGTCCAGGTAGGTTCATCAGTTGTAACAAAGGTACAGGGGAGGACATTGATAACAGGAGTAACTTATGAATGTGAGGGGGCAGGGAATATATAGGAAATCTCCGGACTTTCCACTCAGTCTTGCTATAAATCTAAAACTGCTGTAAAAAATAAAGTCTATGGTTAAAAAAAGAGAGAAAGGTAACAGATGGTAGCTGCATTTGTGGTGAGCATAGCATAATGTAGGGAGCTGTTGAATCACTGTGTGGTAAACCTAACACTAATGGAACATGGTGTGTCGGCCATACTTCAAGTTTTAAGAAGGCAAATACAAGAGGCAGAGAGAGGGAGAGAGGGAGAGAGGGAGAGAGAGAGAGAGAGAGAGAGAGAGAGAGAGAGACATAAAGATTTACTTGCTTCCTGATGGATAGATAATTATACCAAGGCACTTAATACATTTTCCATTGAATTAAATATCATCTTTGTCATTTATTAAATTCTCACTTACAATGATATATATGGATTCTCTATTTGATCCAACCAGTATATGTATCTACTTGTCAATCCCCATGGTAAAATTATATTGATATTGTAGTTTAACAGTATATTCTGATATCTGGTAACATAAGTCCCCTTCCCATTACTCTTCATTTTCACACTTTTCTCGACTATTCTCAAGCATTTATTCTTGCATATGATCTTTATGTTAGCCAAGTTTTTTAAAGTCCAGAGTTAATAGAATTTCATTATACTTATAACTGGTTAGGAGAAAATTGACGTTTTAATTACATGAAATCTTCCCACCCAGGGTCACAGCTTTCAATTTGTTCGCATTTCGTTTTATATCCTTCATAAGACTTTATCAGTTTCTTCATAGATGTCCTGTGCCTTTCTAGTTAAATTCATTTCTAAGCATTTTCTTTTTATTGCTATTATGCTGGGAATATTTTCCCCGTCACTATTTCTGTTTTCTCCACTCTTTTGCTAGAATGGAGAAAGGCTATTGGTTTATGTCTATTTGTCCAAGAGCGGAGCATTTAAGAGCACAAATTGAGGTATGGAGAAGAGACGTTAACTTTACTTCGTATAACTCCATTTACCGTTTTATTTTAAGCTCCTTTTGTGCCAGGTGGAAGCAATTCAGCCCCGTCTGGTTTTTCCCAGCTTTTGTCCAGGGCGGGTTAAGTTCCATGGAGTTTGCATAATGCCAGGAGGCAAGAGGACTGAGTCCTTGACATCATCGGTCCTAGCTGGCATCTCTTGAGATGCCGTTGGGTCCTGTCTCTCGTCCTTACCAGTCTCTGCTGCAGTTGTTCCTCTTTCGTTCTGAGGAGGCTCTCTCTCTCCCTCACTTCTCTCTCTCCCACTCCCCCTCAGGCATCTGGAAAATATTCCCCCACCTCCACGTCACACTAACCCCTCCCAACCCCCGCGGCCCAGACCCAGCATAGAGCATCTCCAGGCCCACTGCTTCTCCAGTCTCCAGACACCCCCTCTGCTCTTGATCCCACAAAGCTACGCGGGGTCCTGTCCTTGGGTGAGGGCGATGCAGAAGCTTCCTCTCTGAGCCCAGGGGCGGGGCGGGGGGGGGGCACTTTTCTACTTTTCCACCCTCATTATTTATTCTCTCAGGGCTAGGTTCACGCCCTGAGGTATTCAAGCACTCAAAAGCTAAAAGAAGCTTCCTTTTCTCTCTTTCTTCCCTTCACTGAGGCGATAAATTCAGAGCAACTCCGCCTGAATAGAAGGGCTGTCAGGGAAAATGAAGTTCTGGACGGCAAAACATTGTTAATATTTCAACATCGTAGCCCATTAAAACATACAGGCGTAGGGAAAAAGAACAATACTGGAGAAAATACAACAGAATGTTAACAGAGATGCTCTGTTTCCAGGAGGTGAAACCATGAATGAATTTTGTTTTATTTCTATTTCTCTGGATTTTATAAAGGTTCTACAATGTGTGTTATTCATATCATCACACACATAAAAAATGATTTATGTGAGTTCATTTGTAGGTTGCCTATGCAAATCGGGTTGATTTGCATGAGAAATGACTATGAATCCAAGCATAATTGACAGACACAATGTACGTTCCAAGGAAATGTACAGCCGTATGAAACATAAAGCATGAAGGAGGCTTCATTCACACCCTCAGTAGCTTGGGTTGGTTTCTAGAGCGACAAGCAATCGCTCGTGCTATGAAGTTAGGACCACTTGCCAACTGGGAGCCTTGGAACAGTTAAGCCTGAAGGGGTAACCAAGCAAACCACGGACTTTATGATGTACACGTTTCAAAAAGAGGCCTTTCGCCACGAGGCAGTTGGGTTTTTTAAGGCTGTAGTTGATGAAAACATGATTAGAGGGTGCCTTAGATCAGGGAGGTTCTTAAAAACAGAGCCTGAGGCAGGGATTCTTGCTCAGTGATGGGATGAACTCTCTGAGAGACGGGGGAGGGAGTGAAGCATGAGAAACTCCGCAGCACAAATTGTACCAGAGGTGGCTTCACCTTGAGGCGAAAGGGCCAGTCCCCGCCCCGTGTCAGTCAGTCATGGGCAGGAGGGCACGGGATGCTCCAGTCAACCAAGGGCAATTTTGTGGAGACACAGGCACCTGTGAGCCCTCAGCAGCCCATCCTTGGAGCAGCGGAAGGATGGGGTTCCAGCCAGGCACGATTTAGTTGGTAGTTGTAGGTAATCGTGAGCTGATTGCAGCGTGGGCCGGGGCCATGTGCGGGAGTAGGTGACACTGGAGACACCAGTGGTGGCGGCATCCTTGGGGTGGAGAGGAAGGCTATGGGCCAGCTAGCTAAGAACTCTTCAGTGGCTGTGGGGGCTGTGACCAAGAAGGCCAGGGATGACAGAGAGGAAGAGGCAGAGGGAGAGGCGGAGCCAGGCTGTCTGATGGTCAGATCAGCAGTGATTTTTACCCAAGGAAGAAGGAGAAATGCACGAGCCCAAACTTGACAACCCATTGGACCCCTGCAGGCCCTGGCTGACCAAGTCGGGAGGTCTGCCTACAACAAGGACTGTAACCACCCCAGCAAGGGGTGCCCTGAGGCCGTACTGTCTGATATCCAAGGCGGGGAAGCGTGGAAGTTCTACAAAGACAGGTACCTTATCTGTCCTGCTTACCAGGCGGCATAATGAGTGAATATTTACTGAAAGAATGAGTCCATCAGTTCACCCATATTTCATCACCTCTCAGTGGAGGCCCCTAGCATAGTAACAGCACGAGCTTTGAGGGGAGACGCCTGAGTCTGAATTCCAGCGTGAGCCTCAGCTTTTCCATCGGGAGTGCGGTGAAGATTGAATGAGCTGATAACGAAGGGTGTAGAGCGCTTGGTACAGCACTTGGCCGGTGGGAAAGTCCACGAATGGCCTCCGCAGGTAACCTCCCCGAGCCATCTCTAGCAGGGTGACTGGGGGGTGAGTGTGATCGGAAGGGCGGGGGAAGGAGCGGGACGCGGGCTGAGGTTGCGCCCCAGCCTCTGTGTACCCAAGTGGCCCAGCCCTGGGCGGAGTCTCCTCCGGGCCAGGCGGGGCCGTGCTGTCCCCTGGAGGCACTGAGGGACCGGCTATGGCGAGTGGGGCCCAGGGATGCGGCCGTTGGCCCCCGCTCCACCTCGGGCTCCTGCTCCAGCTCGCCGCGCTACTCCGGACGCCGGGGCTCCAGGTGAGAAGTGGGGCGACCGCAGAGTCTCCCAGGTCAGGGGCGGGGGGAGGGGTTGGCGCACAGCGGAGCAACAGGGGCCGCCTTGCCCTCCTCCGGGTCCAGGTGGCTCCAAGTTGGACCCTGCCAGGAAAAACCTCCTAGCTGTGGGGGGTTGCCTTTGCCCCCGCGAACACCTGATTGGAGAGATGTGCCAGCGTGGAAAGGCGCTGGTGGAGGGAACAGCCGCCCCTCCTGCAGCAAGGGGGTGCAGGTGGAGAGAATAGCCTGGGGGCGGGGAAGGGGGTGCGGGGGCGGGGGGGGGGATGTTGCTTGGCCTCCTAAAAGTCCTGGGATGCGGGCTGGGACGTGGATCAACTTAAGGGTCCTCTGTCTAGAAATGCGCCCACATACCCAGTTTTACAAATTCAGGCGACTCACAGTCGTTCTCCCAAACCACGACTGGACCCTGGGCTCAGAACCTCTGGGATAAATAAGTAGGAGGTGTGGGAATCGGGTCCAGTCCCCCTAGGGGGTAAGAGTCCCGTTTTACAGAAATGCCTGGAGTGGGCAAAGGCACCCAGGCTAGAATCCACTCGTCGGGCCTGAAGCCCCCAGGACCACTAACTGGATCAAGCAGGTGGCTGTTCGAGCCATTCCACTGTCCTGCTTCCAGCTCTGGGTCCACCCTTGGTTGCCAAGCAGGAATGTGAGCCGGGTGTGGCCGCAACAGGTCTCTCCAGAAAATTTAGAAAGACTGGAAATGAGACAAATTAGAAATTCAGATTTTTAAAAGTGAAACCTCTCCAATTTTAAAAATTGGTCGCTAATTAAAAACACATTTGTAAACACATTGATGGTCAAGCCACTCAGCTGTGGGCAATCAGCCTGCAGCTTCTTCTCAGAGCGCAAAGCAGGCTGGGAGAAGAGAGGGGCCAAGAGGCTGTTTGCTACCCCTCCACCAAGACCGTTGGCTCAGCTCCAAACCTGAGGGTCCTGGAGCAGGATGTGGCGTTTGCAAGGGTGCGGCGGGGCCACCCGGATGTTAGGGTTCCTGCTAGGAGCTCAGCCTCACCCTGTTTGCTCAAGGAGGGGCTAAAGCAGGTGAGTTAGCCCAGTGGAGGCCAGATGCGAGGGCAGCTCTGGCCCTCCCTCCCTTGGCCACCCTGAGCCTTGGTCCAGAGGACCCCTGGAGCCTGGCACCAGAAGCAGCTGGGCCGGTTGGGGGGGGTCACCCCAAGAAAAGCCACAGTGTGGCAAAGGAGGAAAAGGTTGCAGGTATCAGAGAGATGCCAGCAGCCGTTCCGCGTGCTTTTAAGCTAATTACCTAACCGGCATGAGCCTCAGTCTCCCCGGCGCTGGGGAGAATAGCACCCATCTCGTAGGGAGACTGTGAAGTCCTTTCGTAAAGCCCTTCCGTCTTCTTTGGAAAACCAGGAAGAATTGAGGGGTGGGGAAGAGGACAGATTTTAGACACTGTGGAAGCCACCTCCCCCCCCCTCCCGCCAGTTCCCACTGTAACCCCTCTCTAGGGTCAAGGAGATCAATGGGGGCAGCCAGCAGCTTCCCCAGTCCTGCTTCCTTCTTTGTCTGCCCCCGCCCCCCACGAGAAGGGGAGTCACAGCCAGCCTTGCATGCAGTGAGGACAAGGGGTGCCCCCAGGCTCCTCAGAGAAGGTGACTTTGTTTCCCACTTCAGGTCCAGAGCCTCAGGCCGGAGAGCCTCCTGCTAGTGTCCACCCTGGATGGAAGTCTCCACGCACTGAGCAAGCAGACGGGGGACTTGAAGTGGACGCTGAAGGATGGTGAGCAAGGGGCAGTCACTCTTCCTTCCTTGGACCCTGAGTTGGGGGCTGGGGGGGGGGTCACCGTGCATGGAAGATAAGTGTCTGGGGTCTAGGCTCCAACAAGCCAGTCTCTGCAGGCAGCTGCACCACTTCCCAGCTGCGTGGCCTTGGGAAAGTCACTTCGCCCCTCCGAGCCTCAATGTCCTTACCTGTAAAATGGGGCCAAGGGTAATGACCCTACTTCACAGAGTTCTCGGGAGGATTAAATTACATGCATGTCAAGTGAGTGGCTCAGTGCCTGGCCCACAGTAAGCACCCCGTGAATTTGAGCTGTGCTTGTCAGCGGGCGGTATGGAGGGGGTTACTCATATTTCATGTCCCTGTGCCCACAGATCCCATCCTCCAAGGGCCAATGTATGTCACCGAGTAAGTGAACCTGCGGTCTTTAAAGGAGGGGGCATCGGGAGATGGGGAGGCCACAGTTGTCTGGAGGGGGTTCGGCGGGCCGGGGGTAGGGGCACGTTGGAAGGAAGGGAAGAGGTTTGGATCTGGAGCTGTGTGGCGCCTCCTACTAGCTGGGGAAGATGGCGGCAAAGGGGGCCTTCAGGAAACCAGGGGGCATGAGCCTAACCCTCCCCCTGTTCCTCTCTGCCCCACAGGACAGCCTTTCTCTCAGACCCAGCCGATGGCAGCCTATACGTCTTGGGGACCCAGAAACAGCAGGGATTGATGGTGTGTTTCCTACAGTGCTTGGGACGGGAGAGGGCCTGGGCTTCCGTTAGCCAGAGCAGGGGGTGCCGAATGGTCAGCGTCTGTGTGTCCTGCAGAGGCTCTGGGTGCATTATGGGAAGGCTGTCCGGAGGGACCTGCTGAAAGGGGGTGGTGTGGTGGTTCGAGCCGTCTACAGAGCAGGCTGTCGGGCCTCTGAGGGTGTCCCAGGGGCTTCTCCAGGACTGTGGGGGCTTCAAGGGGGGAAATGACGCATCATTTAGTTTTGCCAAGTGAATAGTTACCCCAAAACCCAATGGCTGAAAATGCCAGCCACTTATTTACCCCACAATTCGGGGGGTGGCACTTCAGGCCGGACTGAGCGGGTGGTCTTGACTAAGCTCGCTCAAGCCTCTGTGGCCGCCTCCTGGTCCGCTGGATGGTTGTCGTGCCGACGGTTGATGGTTGGCTGGCTTTTGAGAGGGGCCGCTGGGCCACGTGTCCCTCATCCTTGTCAGGTGAGCCTGGGCTTGTCCACGTGTTAGCAACAAGGGAGCCAAAGAGAAGGCCAGGCCTGTGCACAAGCACTTGCCCAACTATGCTTGTATCACATTCTCTGATGTCTCATTAGCCAAAGCAAGTCCAGTGGCCGAGCGCAGAGTCAAGCGGTGAAGAAATAGATTCCAGTTGTTTGGGGGAGTTGCTGAAAAGTCTCAAAGGGGCGTGCACAGAGGGGAGAAGAGGAACTTGTGGCCGTTTCGGCTGCCTTCTACATCAGGACGCCTATGGGGGCTGTGGAACGCGACTCTGGATTTGTCACCAGGAATGGGGTGGAATGTGCTGTGTCAGAACGTTGTGCCATAGGAAGGCTGCCAGAAAGGTCTCAAGTACGTGTAGGAAGCTGAGTTGACAAGCGATGTTAGCACGGAAGTCAGGCGAGGTCCCAGCAGCAAACAGCACATTCCAACAGGTTCGCTCGAGGACGTGCTATTAAAGGATTGACCTACAAAGGTGCGGGCAGAGTGTGGGAAGCCACGGGGCCCCGTGCAGTATCCCGTGGCCCATAAAAGTGGGGGGCCGTTATCAGCCCTAAGCCCAGGGGGAGCGGGGACGTTGGCTCTTACGGTGTCCATGCAGGAGCGACACGTGTCTCTTCTCCGTTCCCATTGGCTAAAGCAAGTCACGGCCGTGTGTACTTTAAGCAGGAAAGGAAGGACAATCCCAGAAGAAGAACCAGAATGTTTGTGAGAAGTGTTCCTCATCCCCCAGCCAATCTTCCAACTCCAATTTAAAGTCCAAGCTCTTTCCCAGCCTGTGACCTTACAGCCAGCCGCCCTCACTTCCGGCCACTCTTCCTTTCTCTACCCCCGCCCTCCCAGGTTCGCTGGCCTTCTTGCTGTTCCTCTAATAAGCCGGTCGGTAGCTCTCCCTGCCCAGGGCCTCTACACCGGGGCCATCCCTCCACTCAGAGCTCTTCCTGCACGTGACCTTATGGCTCACCTCCTCGCTCGGCTTGGGTTCTCACTACCCTGGCCCGCTGCTCTGAAATAGCATCTCAAGGGGTGCCTGCGTGGTCGAGTGACCGACTTCCGCTCAGGTCATGATCTCGTAGTTGATGAGTTCGAGCCCCGCATCAGGCTCTCTGCTGTCAGCGCCTTGCCCACTCGGGGTTCTCTCTCTGCACTTCCCCTGCTCTCTCTCTAAAATAATAAACATTTAAGAAATCTTTAAAATAGCATCTCAAACCACTCTATCCCAGTTCAGTAAGTTGTTTTTTTTTTCTTTTTTTGTGGCATTTATCATTACTCGGTGTTACGTTATGTATTTTGTTGTTTATTATCTCTCCCTTCCACACGCCAGAGATGTAACTCTACGCAGGAAGGAACTTTGTCAGTCTCCGTTACTACTGGTCCTGGCACCTGGCTAATAATAGGTGCTCATTAAATCGTTGAATGAATGAATGAACTCTTTCCAGCGATCTTTCTTCAGTCCCCCACATTAGGTACTTCCACTTGTGCTCTCTTATCACAGCACGAGCTGTGCCTACCAATTACACGTTGTAATGACTCTCTTTGTTGTCGGTGCTGACTACGCCCCTGGGAAGCCCGGCTTCTCTTGCCCTCAGTCCCAGAGTGTGCTTCGAGTGGCTACAGTTCTGTATGTGGAGTTTGGGGATTTTTTTCATTTTGATACAATTTCCAGCATAAGAGAGAAAAATGCAGGGCGCCTGGGTGGCTCAATTGGTTTCAGCGTCTGACTCCTGATCTCTGCTCAGCTCATGATCTCACGTGAGTTTGAGCCCTTCATTGGGCTCTGCGCCGACAGTGTGGAGCTTGCTTGAGATTCTCTCTCTTTCTCTCTCTCTCCCCCTCCCCTGCGCTCGCTCTCTCTCTCTCAAAAAAAAAAAACTTAAAAAAAGAAAGAAATGGGGCACCTGGGTGGCTCAGTCGGTTAAGTGTCCACCTTTGGCTCAGGTCGTGATCTCATGGTTCGTGAGTCTGAGCCCCGTCTCGGGCTCTGTGCTGATAGCTCAGAGCCTGGAGCCTGCTTTGGGTTCTGTGTCTCCCTCTCTCTCCCTGCCCCTCCCCCACTTGTGCTTCTGTCTCTCAAAAATAAACAACATCAGAAAGAAAGAAAAATGCAAGAATAGTACAAAGAAATTCTTTATTCCCTTTATACAGATTCATCAATTTTTAACATCTTATTACCTTTGCTTTATCATTCTTCCTTAATGGATAGGTGATAGATAGACAAGGTATATACACACTTTCTTTTTTTAGATTAAAAAAAAATTAATCTCTACACCCAAGGTGGGGCTCGAACTTACAATCTTAAGATTGAGTCCCGTGCTCCACCACCTGAGCCAGCCAGGCGCCCCTATGCAATTTCTGTTTCTGAACTGTTTGTGAATGAGTTGCAGACCTGCCTCTTCACCCCTCAAGGGGGACTACATATTCCTAAGGATGAGTATAAATGATCAAAAGCAGGAAATTTAACGTGGATGTGATAGTATTATCCAATCCACAGTCCATGGTAGTTTTTCAAGTGTCCCATTGGTGTCCTTTATTGTTTTCCTCATCCAGAATCTGACCCAGGATCACCTGCTGTGTTTGGTCATCATGTCTCTTGGGTGTCCTTTAGTCTGGAACCGATCCTCAGCTTCTCTGAGGCCGTCCTGGCCCTTGAAGCCCTGAGGTCCCTGCAGCTGTTTAGAGGAGGATGTCAGGCCAGATCCATCAGGTGGCATCTCGGGAAGGAGTGGGGGATTTCCCCAGTTCAGGAGGCTGTGTAGCAAAGTGGTTAAGTGTGCTGGCTCCGGAAACGGATCACCTGGGTCTAAGGCCTGGCTCTGCTGTTTACCAGCGGTGTGACAATAGCCGAGTTACTTACCCTCTCTGGGAAAGGAAGATTCGAATAATTGTACCTAGTGAGTAGGTCGTATGTGTTTTTCCGCTCTTTCTCCTTCCCGGAAACTTTCCCTCTCAGAGGCTGCCGTTTACCATCCCTGAGCTGGTTCATGCCTCCCCGTGTCGCAGCTCTGATGGCGTCTTCTACACGGGTAAGCATCTCTCCAGCCTGCGGGTCCAGGTCTGGCAGGGACGGGGACCTAGTCACGGTGGGCCAGCTGGGCACAGGACAGCCAGGCTGCACAGCCTGTCCCAGGCCATCCTGAGGGCTGGCACGCCTTCCACCTCCACAGGCCGGAAGCAGGATGCCTGGTTTGTGGTGGACCCCGAGTCGGGAGAGACGCAGATGACGCTGACCACAGAAGGTCCCTCTACCCCCCGCCTCTACATCGGCCGAACACGTGAGTCAGGCCCCAGCTGCTCCCCAAGCTGTGGGCATCCGGCCCCCTCCTTTGTGCTGCCCAGGCCTGGCTGTTGCCTGTCCAAGTTGAATCCAGGCCAGTCAGTCAATCTTTAGTCAACAACCATTTCACTGAGTCTAAACAAGGAGCTGAGGACACAACAGTAACCCAAACATCCCGTGATGCTCACAGACTCTGGCCTCCAGGACGGGTGCCAGATGGTACTCCCTGGGGCTGGGGGCGGGTGAGGACTCTCACGTGGGTACCCCTGGTAACCCTGCTTCTGGGTACTCGCAGAGTACACGGTCACCATGCATGACCCCAAGTCCCCGGCCCTGCGCTGGAACACCACCTACCGCCGCTACTCGGCACCCCCCATGGATGGCTTGCCTGGGAAATGTGAGTGTCCCCTTTCTCTGGCTCCAACCTTGCAGCAAGGTCCCCAACTCAGGGGACTCTGAGTGGCATCCACGACCAAGCCCCACCACATTCTGAATGACACACCCTTGATGGGTGACCCTAAGTGAACCCCTTAACACCCAGCCTGACCCCCACTGAGCGATCCTTAACATCCTAGTTCCTCCTTATTCCCAATGAGCGGAGCCAGGTAACTCTGGGTGACTCCCTTTGTCCTGAGTGACCCAAGCAACCCTCAAACACTCTGAGGAGTCCCCACATGTCCTAACTGACCCCCAATGTTGAATGACCCCTGAGAGATGCCTCTAAGTGATCTCCCCCAAGATTAACCCCTCTCAGGTAATTCTGACCACTCCCTTGATATTATGACTGTCCTACCCAGTTGCCTGAGTGACCTTACAGGTGCCCCTAAGCTACTCCTTGTACCCTGACTTCATCGTTTTGCATGAGAACCCAAGCAAATACACATAAACATCACAACAGACACTCTCCCAGGGCCCCTAACTAACCCCTTCACACTCTAAATGGCTCCCAAGTGACCCACATACCTCTAGGCCACCCTGATTGACCTCTCCTGGGTGATATGTTATCAATCAGACTATGGCTGACTACCCCACATCCTAAGTGACCTCTCTCAAGTGACCTGGACTGATTCACACACCTTAAGTCACCTTTGGACGACCCTGACAGAGCCCTCCATTCTACACAGCTCTCCAATTGACCCTGACTAGTCCCCTGACCGATCAAAGCGACCCAGTGAAATGTGACTGACCTTCCCATGTCCTCATAAGCCTCCAGGTGATCTCACTTGGCCCCCACACATCTGAGTGGCCCTCCTGATGGCCTACCTCGGGCAGCTTCCCCACCCCAAGATGCTCTGAGATGCCTCACATCCAAGCTCCCTGGCCATATCTCCCCAGCTGTCTTTCTTGGCAGACATGAGCCACCTGGCATCCTGTGGGATGGGCCTGCTGCTAACCGTGGACCCAGGAAGTGGGGCGGTGCTGTGGACACAGGACTTGGGCATGCCCGTGATGGGAATCTACACCTGGTACCAGGACAGCCTGCGTCAGCTGCCCCATCTCACGCTGGCTCGGGACACCTTGCATTTCCTTGCTCTCCGCTGGGGCCACATCCGACTGCCTGCCTCAGGCACCCGGGACACGGCTACCTACTTCTCCGCCTTGGACACCCAGCTTCTGTAGGTGCCCATCCCTGGGACTGGGGAGGAGCCCTCTGGACAGGTGTGATGTTTGAGGATGACACACTTGTACAGCTGAACCAGCTGGTTCAAACTGGTTATTTACCAAACTGATTGATAAATAACCAGTGCCCAGTATCACCCCCCCACCCACCCACCCAAGTGCCCCCAGGACCTTCTGGATAGCCCTGCTATTCAGTGACTTCTGGGTACAATCTAGCCTAGAGGGGGCCTCCAGGTCTCCACTCCAGCGTACAGATGGAGACTGTTCTGCTTGGTAGGTGCAATGCCTTAATTGTTAAAGACTATTATTCTTACTTATAGTACCGAATACCCTAGAGTTCCCATCTTAGGAAATAAAGAGACAGACTGGTAAAATCAGGGGTTATCTATTAATTCAGTTCTTTACTCTTTCAGTTCATTACACAAATAATAATTGAGCACTTACTGTGTACCAATCACTTGTTAGACTCTGGAAGTATAATAATACTTCCAGTGTTCCCACCTATAGAAATCTGAGTCTAGTGGGGGAAACAAGTGTGTAAGAGGGCAATTATAATATGGTATGATAGAGAATAACAGAGGTATAGATTTGCCATAGGAATGTATAGGAAGGGTACCTAAATTGAGACCAGGGACAAGAGGCAGTCATGGAAAGCTTCCTGGAGGAAAGGACATATACATTGAAAACTGAAGGATGAATAGAAAATAAGAGAAAGAGCATTGCAGCCAGGGAACAGAAATTAAATAAGCCTGGAGCATAGATCTGAGTAGTGTTAAGCAGGGATCTGGTAGGATCATTTAAATGGTTTGTACATTTTCTCCTAAGGCTAAGGAAAAGTCATTGGAGGGTTTTAAGCAAAGAAGTAATTTGATCATCTTTTCATTTTAGAAAGACAACTCTGGCTGCAGTGTGAAGAATATCTTAGAGCTGTGTAGTGAGTAAGGACACACATATAGAATATTGTGTTAGTTCAGGCATGAGATGAAGACCTTCTGGGCTACGGAAACAATAGAGATGGGAAAAAGTGGAAAGCAAGAGATATGAAGAGGGAAAAACAGTAAGAATTTGGTGATCAGGGAGTTTGGTGATTGTGAGCAAGGACTCAAGGGTCATGTTCAGGTTTCTAGAAGCACATGGATGCTATTGTTTTCAGAGGTAGGGAGCACTAGAGGAAAAAGAGGAGGAGGTGGTAAGGAATGAAGTGACGAGTTCAGATTTAGAGAACTGAGCTCTTGAAAGAGGTCTGGGCCAGACACAGATTTAGAAACCATGACTATAGAGCTTGTATCAGTTAGCTTTTGCTGCATAACAAAGCACTCCCAAAGCTTACAGCTTAAAAAACAATGAACATTTATTATTTTTCAAGAGGCTGTGGGTTAGCTGAGTGGTTTTCTGATCTGAGCCATCTTAGTATCTGCAGTCAGCTGGTGGTTTGGCTGAGCCTGGATAGTTTGGGTTGGTGCCTCTCACCTATATCCTAGTTAGTGGGCTGTTTAGCCAGCAGGCTAGCCTAGGTTTTCTCACATGGTGGTCTCAGGGTTCCAGAGAACAACATGGGAGGAGAAGCCCCAAAGCACAAACACTTCTCAAGCCTCTGCTTGTGTCACATTTGCTTTTGTCTCCTTATCCAAAGCAAGTCATATAGCTAAGCCCAGAGTCTATGTGGGAGGGGACATGACAAAGACACCAGTATAGTGGTAACTGAAATGACTCACCAGAATCACTCATCCTTCTCCCTTTTTTCTTCTCCCTCACTAGGATGACACTGTATGTGGGGAAGGATGAAGCTGGCTTCTATGTTTCTAAAGCACTGGTTCACACAGGGGTGGCGCTAGTGGTGAGAAGGGGTCTCTGATGGGCTGGAAGGAGGGGATGCAGCAGGAAAGGCGTGCCCTCGCTCATGACTCTCTATCTTCTGCCATAGCCTCGTGGACTGACCCTGGCCCCCATGGATGGCCCCACCACAGATGAAGTGACACTCCAAGTCTCAGGCGAGCGAGAGGGCTCACCTAGCACGGCTGTCAGATACCCCTCAGGCAGTGTGGCCCTCCCTAGCCAGTGGCTGCTCATTGGTGAGATTCTTCTGGCTCAGGTTTGGAGTAGATGAAGGATCTATGAGCCCAGCTCCTGAGCTGGAAGGCTGAGGTTACCTTCAGCCAGCTGACTTTTGCTCTGCTTCTTAGGACACCACGAACCACCCCCAGTCCTGCATACCACCATGCTGAGGGTACATCCCACCCCAAGGAGTGGCACTGTTGAGAACAGACTCTCAGAGAGCATGCAGCCTCCAGCCCTCTTCCCGGAGGTCAGCGCTAGCAGGGCAGAGGGCATGGGAGGGGAGACTTAGCATGTTGGGAGGTCATCCAATGGACCTTTTCCTCAGCCTACTAGGAATAACATTTGAAGGTGGGTCAGTTGATCCCATGCAATTTCCTGGAAGAAAGACCTACACATATGGTATTATTGCCAGAAAGGTATAAGAAGGGTCAAAGGATATCTAAGCTGTAAAATATGGATCACAGTTTTAATTCTTCTTCAGTGTAAAAATTACAAAATATTTATCAAGTGAGAAAATGTAAACAGAAAACCTGTAAAAGCATGCTCTCCTGGGAGAGGGTTGGGGCAAGAATCACTAGTAGTTCAAGGTTAGAACAGCCATGATCTGGAGCAGTAATTCTCAAGTTCTGGTTGCTCATCAGAATTACATGGGAGCCTGCTCAAGCCCCACTGAATCAGAATCGTTGGAGATGGATATCTGAATTTCTTGGTGATTCTCCAAGACTAATCTGTATTTTTTAGTGATGTCCCAGGAGAGGCTGTTAATCAGCTGGGTTTTGAAGACCACGCTCCGGGGACACAATGATGTTTCAGCACCACGGACAGCACCATGTTTCCCACCATGTGGCCTAATTACTCCCTGCCCAGTCAACTAAGCCCAGAACTAAGCCCAGCAGCCCTGTCCTGAGTGATGAAGAAGAGTAGGGGTTCCACCCTGGGTGAGTGTGCTAAGAGTGTTCTTTGTCCTCAGCTCCTGAGCCTGAGCCGTGAGAAACCTTGGAGCCCGGAGCTGCATCCTGAAGAGAAAACCCCAGACCTGTATCCAGGGCTGGGACCCCAAGACCTGTTGGCAGCTAGCCTCACTGCTGTCCTCCTGGGAGGGTGGATTATCTTCCTAATGAGGCAGGTAAGCCCGTTGCCCCTGACCTCAGGTGCGTCGTAGGGTCTTCCTAGGGCGAATTCTGCTCCTTCTCTCCAAGACCACTCAGCAGCTCTCTCCCTCACCCAGCTCCCATTCTGCCCCCTGCCTTCCTCCCAGCAGCTCCTCGAGCCCCCACTACTGTGTTCTGTACGTTCACGGTCCCATGCCAGGCTGTCTCAGGCACCGCCGCGGGGCCCCTCACGGGGCAGGGGCTGGCCAAGGCTGAGCCCTCTTCGGCCCTGTATGTCAGCAGCAGCAGCTGGTGGAGAAGCAGCAGCAGGCCCTCCCGGCACCTGCAGACCCTCCTCACATCACACAGCGTGCTCAGCCCCAGCCACCAGGGGCCACCCCACAGGGCCAGAAGGGCCTTCGAAGCCCCTCAGAGCAAGCCCAGGCGGTCGAAGACCCAGAAGGTAAGCCTAAGTGAACAGTAAAGGGCAGAGTCAGGGACAGAGAAAAAAGGGGGCGGATTTAGCTTTCAAGTTGGTTTATTAGAAGCCATTACAGTATGGTGGTTAAGCCCAAGTGAGTTAAGAGAATATTTCCAATCCAGCCTTCTATGCAGTTAAGCACTGGAGACATATCTGCCATCATTTTTTATCATTATTTTCAAGGACTCTGGATGCACATAAAACTGGGTATAGATCAAGCCCCACTATCGGTTAACTTAGGTTGCTTTCTTTCCTCCTCTGAGCTTTGATTTTCTCATCTGTCAAATAGGAAAAATAACACCCACCTCACTGTGAGAGGCTACCAGCATTATTATGATTAAATCACTCCTAGGTGATGTTAACAACATTTGGGTTAGTTTGACATCATATTTGGTAACAGTAATAGTAAATTACTATCATTTTGTTCTTTTTCCTCTCTTTAGGGCTTTTTAATTTTTTTTAGGTTTTCTTTTTAAAGGTGTGAGCCAGTATTTTTATATTTTTTAAATGTTTAGTATTTTTGAGAGAGAGAAAGAGAGCACACGCAGGAGAGAGGCAGAGAGAGAGGGAGACAGAGGATCCAACAGCAGAGAGCCTGCTGTGGGGCTCGAACTCACAAACCATGAGATGATGACCTGAGCTGCAGTCCGACGCTTAACTGACTGAGCCACCCAGGCGCCCCCTAGGACTTTTAAACACTTCTCTTCTCTTTTGTCCATTTAATTTCAAGCTGGCATCTGTGGGATGCCCCAAGGGGGATTTCACATGCTTTTGTTGTTCAGTCTGGGCTATTTCTCCTGCTTCTTGGGCTCCAGGCTGGACTGGCCTTCGGTCCTTACCATGAGCTGCTCGCGGCTACCTCCTGGTCACTGCCCAAACCACTACCTCATGACTTGGAGCCACTCTGCTGCCCCCTTAACTCTAGCTGAAGCTCCCCCAGCCCCACCCACGCTCGGCCTGATGGTTCAGTGCTGCTCCCTGCGTCCACCCCTGTGTTCACCCTGCCTTCGCTGAGACAGAACTGCTCCCCTTCCTGAGGGGTCTGCTCTGTCAGAAGGTGCTCCCCGCAAAGTTGCCTGAGCCCTGAGGGGTTACTGTTCTTGTCACTTCACTGGCTCTGGAGGGTCCACATAATACCCACCCAGTGCACCCAGAATCCCTCAACTCCCTGGGTCTTCGGACTCCAGCTTTCCCCAGACAGGCCAGATTCCATCTTTTCCCAGGATGCTTCTCACCAAAGCGTTCCTCTTTGTCATTGTCCTTCATCAGCCTTCATGACCACAGTCCATTAGAGCCCTGCCTTCTGAGCTGCCAGAAATGGGCCCGCTCTTACCTGTGCTTCCAGGCCCTGAGACCATCACTCCTGAGAGTCCAGGGTCTAGAAATTTAGGTTCCTGCACATGGGAGTGAGTTTTTACCAAAATAATCCAGAGCAATCCTGAGGGACAGCTTGGTACCCTTCTCACTGATCCTTATGCTACTTTTCATTTGCTTTTCCTGGAGCTAATTGCAGAGACCGAAGCAGGCAGCACTTCCTGAGTAGAGTGTTCTCAGGGCCACTGCATCGCACAACTCTTGGGGCACCGTATACGTTGAATTGTATGAATGGTGTCCCTTGGGGCTGAGCAGGGCATAGCCATGCCTGGGTCACTGTGAAGGGTCTCTCGCGAGCTACCCAAAGGGAAGAGTGTAACTGTTCAAGACTACAACTCTCTGCCTGCCTGAGCCAACCTCATCCTTAAGAGGAAACCAAGGCATTCCAGGGGCTCCCTGCCACCCTAGGACAGGGACAACTCTGGGACAGCTTAGCATCTGAATGCTCGCTGCTGCCCCTTCCCGTTGGGGGCAGTCTCTCCTGGGACGGCACTCACCCTTACTATGCTGCCAACTGTTTAAAGCCAGTTCCTCAGTGAAAAGGGTTTATTATAACTGGCAAGAGTGGGGTGGGGTGGGGTGGGTGGGTGGGAATCCTGGCAGAGGAAGTAAAGAAAGAAATCTGGGCAGCAACAGAATGAGGGAGGATGATAAGGAGGGTAATCTATCAGCCCTCACCACCACTCTCCTCCCACACATTCATTTAATCCACAGTAATGTGTGTGGGATCGTCAACACGAGTCCCACTTCACACATGAGAAAACCAAGGGCACAGGGGTTAAGTTGCCAAGGATGTACAAAGAGGAAGTGGCAGCCCCAGGCTGGGCGTGGAGGCAGCGGGAGGGACTGGACTGAGGAGAGGGGAGGCTGTGGGCGGAGCAGAGCTCCCTGACACCCTCTTCTCCGCTAGCTGAGCAGCTCACCGTGGTGGGCAAGATTTCCTTCAACCCCAAGGACGTGCTGGGCCGCGGGGCAGGCGGGACGTTCGTTTTCCGGTGAGTGGCAGTCAGGAGCTGGGCTGGAGGTGTGGCTGTCGCGGCACTTTTGGCCACTGTCTCTCGGGGAGCCATGCTTTCCCAAGGCTCCCCGAGGTGGGTGCAGGCGGGAGCCTTTTCCTTCGTCTTCCCTCTCTGAACCTCCCAGGGGCCAGTTGGAGGGCCGGGCCGTGGCTGTCAAGCGGCTGCTCCGTGAATGCTTCGGCCTGGTCCGGAGGGAGGTCCAGCTGCTGCAGGAGTCGGACAGGCACCCCAATGTGCTCCGCTACTTTTGTACCGAGCGGGAACCCCAGTTCCACTACATCGCCCTGGAGCTCTGCCAGGCCTCCTTGCAGGAGGTGAGCCAGAGCTCGGAGGGGCGGTGGGGCGCTCGTAGGGTCCCGGGTTGCAGAGTGACCCTCTGTCCCTCACCCCCTCAGTACGTGGAAAACCCTGAGCTGGAGCGCTGGGGCCTGGAGCCCGGGGAGGCGCTGCAGCAGCTGATGTCCGGCCTGGCCCACCTGCATTCCCTACACATCGGTATGCCCCGCCCCCACCCTCCATCCCAGGCCCCGCCCTCCACCCCTGGCTCCGCCTTCCCCACCCCTGGCTCCGCCTTCCCCACAGCCAGCGCTCAGCTCTGCTCTGTTCTCAGTGCACAGGGACCTGAAGCCGGCCAACGTCCTCATCGCGGGGCCTGACGGCCCTGAGGGCCGAGGCAGGGTGGTGCTCTCAGACTTTGGCCTCTGCAAAAAGCTGCCTGTCGGCCGCTGCAGCTTCAGCCTCCGCTCGGGCATTCCCGGCACGGAAGGCTGGATGGCACCCGAGCTCCTACAACTGCTGCCCACCGACAGCCCTGTGAGTCCTCCCCCCTCCCTGGCAGCGTGCCTCTCCAGATATGGCCAAGCTTGTTTCTTCATCTGTAAAGTGGGCACAGTTCCCTTCTCACCTAGAGGAGCAGTTCTCAACCAAGGACTGTTTCACTGCCCAGGGGACATTGGGCACTGTTTGGAGACATTCTTGGTTGTCATACATGGCCACGGAATCGGGGCTTGCTACTGGCATTGGGTGGGCTAGAGGCCTAAACACCCTACAATGCACAGGACAGCCCCCCATGACAATTATCCGCCCCCAGGTGTCAATAGTACCAGGGTTGAGAAATCCTGAGCTGGAAAAGGGTTTTCAGTCCGCACTGTGCTGCAGTATCACTGGGCAACTCTGAAGTCAGATGCCCAGAGCTCATATGCTGTGATTCTGACCCGATCAGCCTGGAGTAGGGCCCCAGGTGTTCTAATGTGTAGCCAGAGAGAGCCACTGGTGTCAAGGGTTTGGGGAGCACCAGATGAGCGAGTACAGTTGAAGCCCAGAGCAGTGTCTGACTTCCAGAGATGCAGGAGTCTGAGACTCCAGGCTTACGGAGTTTTGAGCTGTCAGTGTGCAAGTGGAATATGAAGCCATGCACACAGATGGGAGTTAACAGGAATGGTCAGGCACTAGGCAAAGCCACACCTGAGTCCAGAGAAAGCAGGAGGTGGGCACCTGGAGGCCAAAGGGACTGATGTTATAAGCCCGTACAGATTTTATTAGCGGCCAGTATTTTAACTTGAGGAATTCCACGTTACAATCTGGATTTCGGGATCCTCTTGGAAAATCAAAGCTCTGTCACCAGGGAGAGTCCCCTGGAGGCAGGCAGCTGGAGCGAAGTCCGGCTGTCACCACTGGGAGGGCAGGTGCCACTTCATTGCCTCGTGCCTGGCCAGCTTCACTCCTGTTACCTGCTAGACCTGGAGGAACACAGCTTGGACACCTGCACCAGTGGCTCAGTAGGGAAAAGATTTTGGATGAAAACCATGGGCCCCTTCCAACGGCGCAGAGGGGAGGAGATCCCAGGCCAAGAAAATGGCGCTCAGGACGCACCCTGGAGTTCTAGTCTGAACCAAAGCCCTGGCTACTGTATCAGCCCATGGGAGACTTGAACCAGAGAGGCTTCCTGGAAGCAGGGACCACTTCCTTATGTCTGTCTCTCTGCCCCCAGACAAGCGCAGTGGACATCTTCTCTGCAGGCTGCGTGTTCTACTTTGTGCTTTCTGGCGGCAGCCACCCGTTTGGAGAGAGTCTTTACCGCCAGGCAAACATCCTTGCAGGGGCTCCCAGTCTGGCTCACCTGGAGGAAGAGACCCACGGTGAGGGGCCTGGGCCTGGCAGAGGAGGGAGGAAGCAGGGCACGGGGCTGGGCAGGCCTGAAGCCATCCCTCGTTGGTCCCCGTTACAGACAAGGTGGTTGCCCGGAACCTGGTTGAGACCATGCTGAACCCCTTGCCGCAGGCCCGCCCCTCTGCTCACCAGGTGCTGGCCCACCCCTTCTTTTGGAGCAGAGCCAAGCAGCTCCAGTTCTTCCAGGTCAGAGGGAAATCTTGGGAACAGCCCCAGAAAGTCCCAAATCCGGGTCTTGAGTGATAAGGAAGGGGAAGCCAGAGTGGCTGGGCAGAGACTTGTCTGCCTGTTCCAGGCATCCCAGCTCCTTCTCTAAACCAAGCTCGGACCTTAGACTCCTAGGTGCTGCCGTGTGGACACTCCAGCTGCTCACTACCAGACTTCCCGGCCCCGCTGCTGGTCCCCAGCACCCCTCCTCCCCGCCCCACTTGACACACGCCCCATGCCTAGTTGTCACTTATGCTATACGGGTGCCCAGATAGTCCACCCCACTTGTGGGACCTTGAGCAAGAGACTCTGTGCCTCGGAGCCTCAATGTGCTCATCTGTGAAATGGGGACAACAGTACCTACCTCACAGGTTGGTGAAGACCTGGAAGGTAACATGGAGACATGGCACAGAGAAGCTGGACTCAAGGGCCACCAATCCTTATCCTAACCCAAGAAGCTTCTGATTTGCTCCCCCAAGCTGTAGGGCACTCCTGGCCTCTGAAACTGGTCACGAGGCTCAGGAGCTCTGTGGGGTCCTAGGACGTCAGTGACTGGCTGGAGAAGGAGCCTGAGCAAGGGCCCCTGGTGAGGGCGCTGGAGGCGGGAGGCCCCGCGGTGGTCCGGTGCAACTGGCATACGCACATCTCCATGCCGCTGCAGATAGGTAGAGGCCAGGCTCGGCCCGGGGTGGGTCCGGGAGGCGGAGGGGAGTCTGGTGGGGGCAGCTTTGCCAAGGAGTTGCCCGCCCACAGATCTGAGAAGGTTCCGGACGTACAAGGGGACGTCGGTGCGAGACCTGCTCCGTGCAATGAGGAACAAGGTGTGCTTTAGGGTTTGAGTGGGGCCTGGGGGGCGGGGCAGACTGGTCATGGCTGAGCCGGGCGGGGGCTCTCTGCTCTAACTCCCTCCAGAAGCACCACTACAGGGAGCTCCCGGCTGAGGTGCGGCAGGCGCTAGGCCACGTCCCGGACAGTTTCGTCCAGTACTTCACAACCCGCTTCCCGCGGCTGCTGCTCCACACGTACACGGCCATGAGGAGCTGTGCCTCTGAAAGTCTCTTCCTGCCCTACTATCCGCCGGTCTCGAGGCCCAGGGAGCCGTGCCCAGGGGCCGCTGGGAGCTGAGACAAGGAGTTGGGCCCGTGGCCAAGGCTGGCCTCAGCGTCAGAAGAGACGGACAGAGACTTGGCAGCCTGGGGCTTCTGGAGCAAAGATGTGCCCAGAGCCCAGGCACCCCTCAGGGACTACAAGAAGAAAAAGAAGATTCACGTGTTTAATGTATATAAAGGCAAGGAAAGGACAGTCCCAGATTCAAGAGCAATATTCTGTACAATTCACATGGCGGGGTTGAGAGGGAAGGGAAAGAGGCCATAGAACCCACACCGGAACATGTACAAAAATAACTTACACGGAGACACCCATCAGCAAGGATAATGTAGCTCTTCCCAGCCCCCAGGGCCGGGGGCCACATTCTAGAAAACAGCACCATGGGAGCTAACCAGTACGGGCCGAGGTGCTGGTGGGGGTGGGAGGGGCACCAGTCCGGAGGGGAGGAAGGCCTACGAGGAGGCCTTGAGACGGTTGGTGGCAGAGCGGGAGCTCAGCAGTTTGTCCACCATGGTGCGGGCGTAGCGCAGCCGGCTGGCCAGCTCCTTGGAGCAGCCATACTCCTCCAGCAGGCTCAGGCGGTACGTGCGGAAGTCCCGCTTCTCATCAATGTAGGTCACGGCTGCCATCAGCGGGCACAGGATGAGTTTGGTATGGTCCTAGGAGGCAAAGGAGGGCAGAGAGATGGAAGGGAGTTACGGGTGGGCAGACTGAAGGCCCCAGCTGCTAGTGTATGGGGGACTGGAGGGGAGACATTCTGGCCGATGAGGGGTTCCCACCCGCCCACTCTCTTCCTACCACCTGATGCCAAGGATGGGTCCCACGCCACCCCACCCAATCCAACCCTGGGGGCATGCTGCCAGGCACAGGCATCCCGCCCCAACTCTTCCCCACCCCGGTTCACCTGGAAGAAGTTGATCTGCACAGAGCCGTTGCTGAGGTGCAGGATGATGGCACTGCGGGTGCGAAACCAGGTGCGCAGGTAGGGTAGCCGGGCGAGCTCATCGCCTTCCCGAGGTGTGATGTTGGCGCCTGCCTTCAGCAAGTGTTCACTCATGTAGTTCCGGAAGTACTTCAGGAGGGTGATCTGGTTGGAAGGGGAGGGAGGGAGGCCAGGGTTGGAGACTGACCCCTGGCAAGTGCCTCCCTCCCAGCAACCCCAGGCCGCGGGTACCAGCCAGCACTCACCTTCTTCATCAGGGAGTTGGGATGGGAGCTCACAGTGAGGTAGGACTCTGTGCCATCACGCTCTATGTACTGCAGGCTGTCGCCGTCATTGTAAAGGATCAGGCGTGTCGAGTCGTTGAAGAGCACCCCCACACTGTTGTCGCACAGCTGGTACCCTGGTAGGTGGAGGGGGGCCTCAGGACGGGGAAGTAGGGAGCAGGGGGGGCACTGGGAGCTGGAAATGGGATGCCTGGGACGGAGAGGAGATTGTTGAGAGGACCTGGGAACCACACAGGGAAGAGCCTGGAACAGCTCAAAGGGTCACTTGGCTTTATCTGAGCCGCCCACCCGTTCTGGAAGCAACCTACCAAGGCCGTACTTGTCTGAATAGTCCACCCATTTGCTGACCCAGAAGATGGGGATGCAGGCGGGATCCTCAGCCTCCTCTGTGACAGAAGCAGACAGACTGTTGGTCAGGACCAGCCTCCTCCCCTCCAGTCCATTCAGGTGGCCGACACCAGGGAGGGATGCTGAACACCCTGCCTGGACTCAGTCAAGAGGTCTGGGACCCCAGGGGAGAGCCAAGCAGGGCTGTGTCACCACCAAGCCCTGGCAAGCAACAGGACGGACAAGTCCCAGGGCAGAGCACCCTGTTCCTTTCATTTTACAGTCCATCCATCCACTGATCAAAGGCCTACCGTGTGCCAGGCACTGTCTCAGGTACAGTGAGCAAGGGCCTAAAACCCAGGCTTCATGGAGCTTGTGTTCTTGTTATAGGGACAGAGGCTGAGCAGCGTAAATATGGATAAGGTCTCTAAGTTACTTCTATCATGGTGAGAGTCAGTGGCCAACAGACTAGTGAATTTTCTGGTCCGAATGACTAAAAAAATGTGAGGCAATATACAATTCCAAGTATCTCAAAATGTCATGTTCTGTGCACACAATAATCCCCTATTTAAATGCAAGAAACAAATATAGAAATGAAGAATTATGGAGAAACCCACAGCAGCTGAGGGGGATGACAAGTCCTAGGAGTGGGGAGGATGTGAGATGTGGAGGAAACACATTACAGAAGAAGGGAGCGGTAGGAGCAAGAGTCCCGAGGCTCCTGCAGGTGAAGCAGGAATCCACAGAACGGCAGAAAACAGCATGTGCAGATGTGTAAAGGCAGCATGCTGGGGTTCTGGAAGACGGAGACAGAACAAGTGAATCAGAAAAAGAAAGGAGGGGCCTTGAATGCCAGGCTACTCCATTTGGATTTTGTTCTACAGAAAATGGGGCGACTAAAGGTATTGCAGTGATCGGGGCCTGGGCAAGCCACCGACCTGCTGCGGTCGAGACTTCCTGCCCTCTCCAGATGTCCAGGTGCCCCCACCCCCAGGCCCCCACAGTGCCTACCTTGTCTCACCAGCCCCCGCTCTGAGGGCTTAGAGGCATTGACACTGTGCAGCTGTTGCAGCATGTCGCCTAGGTGGCCGTCGACTGCCTCATTGGTTTCCCGGACCACTGGTTCCTCTTTCTCCCGGGGCCGCTCGGGCGTGGGGTTCTCCATGCCTAGGAAGATGATGACACGTGCTCCTTAGCTGGGCACAAAGGCAGCAGGGTGGGAGGGGCATGGGACCCTCTACCACTGCTGGTATTCTTCCCAGAGAAAAATCATTTTAGCTGCCATTGCTTTGGGTAAACTGAGTCAGTGTGGGATTATAGAGCAGCAGGTGCCATGCTCACATGACAGGAATGTGGTACTCACACCTCCAGGGCCAAGGCAAGCCCTTTAGGAAGGTTTCACGGCCACATACAGCCGCAGAGCCTCAGACACTCAGACCTCTACCCCAATGCTGGGCATTTGATGAAAACAGGAGATTTTTTTTCCACCCCTAAATTTTGTACAGATGTCAAAAGAGTCTGAAAAGATACCCTTTGAAATTTGTCTCATAGGCTCTATTTGAGTGGTAGAAGCCTGATGATTTTTATTGTCTTTATGCTCAAGTGTTTCTTTCCCAACCAACACATGGTAGTTCTTGTAGAACATGATTTTTGTCTTATATTTTTAAGATCAGAGTTTTCAGTTAAAAAACAAACTATGCTGTACTAAGAACTTAAATGTGAAAATAATAAGATATTTGGGATTTGTTTTAAAAACTCTAGGAAAAAGGAGAAGTTGGAAATAGATCAAAGTAAGTATAGGCAAATGTTGCTAACTACTCAAAATGGATGATGTGTACATGGGGATTCTAGTACACTTAATTCTCTCTACTTTTGAGGAAGTTTAAAAATTTCCAGCAGATCTTAAAAAAAAATCCCTGGTGTTAAAAAAAAAAAAAAAAAAAAAAGCAATCTTTAAAATGGCAATATTACAGCCCAAAGAATAAATCCATGAGTGTGCACTAATGTACATAACCAAATAAATGAGAGAGAAATGACAGCTCTTCCTTATAGAAGAATTTCCATGAATTCAGAAGGAGAGGGGAAGAGAGGAATTTGCATTAGAACACCTCAGTAGCAACTGCTACAGCCAGATCCACAGAGCTCTACCTAGGATGCTAACATCCCTGGGCAAGAATTTGAGGAGGAACAGGGTCATCTCAAAGTAGCTCGGCGAGACATGTATTCATTACAAAGGGAAAAACTGTAACTCTGCAGTGGAAAAGTCCATCAGGCACTACCCTAACCAAGTGACCAAGATTAACATCACCAATAAAATGAAATGGCGAAAACAAAAAAAGACATCCTTAACGGTATTAGATTACGACAGGAACAAATGAATTTATGTTAAATTGGTGCTATATTCACCCAAAGAAAAAAAGCATTTCAAATGACCTTTTTAAAAACATTATAGGGGCGCCTGGGTGGCTCAGTCGGTTGAGCATCCGACTTTAGCTCAGGTCACGATCTCGCGGTCCGTGAGTTCGAGCCCCGCGTCAGGCTCTGGGCTGATGGCTCAGAGCCTGGAGCCTGCTTCCGATTCTGTGTCTCCCTCTCTCTCTGCCCCTCCCTCGTTCATGCTCTGTCTCTCTCTGTCTCAAAAATAAATAAATGTTAAAAAAAAAAAATTAAAAAAAAAAAACATTATATATCCTTAGTGAAATACTCTAAGGAAAATGGTACTTCAATAAAATGTCATTTAATAAGAGGAACTTGTGTATAGATGCTGAAAAAGTTATGTTTATTAGTGTGAGGAAACAAGAGGGTCAGTTGAAAAGAAATACAAGAGTAAAATAAAATCACGGGTGCCTAGGTGGCTCAGTCGGTTCAGGTCATGATCTTGCATGCGGTTCTGGATTCTGTGTCTCCCTCTCTCTGCCCCTCCCCCATTCGTGCGGTCTCTCAAAAATAACATTAAAAAATTTTTTTTAAATAAAAATAAAATCAAAGTCATAATATTGTATTTGGACACTCATAAATTACAAAAAGAAAAGCAGTAACTCCACAGCTGACAAGATATCTTGAACTTGCTAACCGTGTTATGTGAATGAATCTTTGTTTTTAGGAAATACACACTGAAGTATTAAGTGGTAAAAGACAGGAAGTATACCACTTACACTCAAGTGGTTCGGGAGAAAACAGTGGATACACACAAATATATAACTTTATATATATTAAAAAGAGAAAGAGGTAAAGTACATGTAGAAAAACGTCATTTCGTGGAGAAAAGGAGTTATAAGATACAGGAGCTTCCATTTGTCCACCTTTTCATAAGTTTGAAATAATATCAAAATAATGTGGTGAAAAAAATGTGAGTCAGAAATAGCAGTACAAACTTCAAGTTTTTCCCGCAATGTATGTACTTCCTCATTTTGTCCTCTGAAGAGAATCAGACATAATGACAACCCAAGCAAGGTGTGTAGTCTTATAAAAAGTGGCTGTCCCTTAAAAAAAAATTTTTTTTAACATTTTTCTTTTTTGAGAGAGACAGAGAGTGAGTCACAGAATCAAAGCAGGCTCCAGGCTCTGAGCTGTCGGCACGGAGTTCCACGCGGGGCTCAAACTCACAAACCACGAGATGATGACCTGAGCCAAAGTCGGACATGTAACTGACTGAGCCACCCCGGCACCCCTAAAAAGTGGCTGTCCTTTTAAAGAGAGACCTACTGAAGCTTATGGGGGTAAAATGGCAAGATGTCTGGGATTAACTGCAAAGGAACAAAAATGGAACAGTGAAGCAAACGTGACAAAAAATTTTGCTAACTGTTGAATGTGGGCCGGGGGTGGAGTGTAGGGGTCCAGTGCATTATGCCCTACGTCTATATTTGGAATTTTTCATATTTTTTTTCAATGAACCACGAAAGAGGGATGTTAGGAATTTTTTAAGTAAGAGTTTTGTGAGCATGGCATTCGGTCCACTCTCCTCTTTTTGGGCACAACAGGTCTGGCCCAGCCACGGTAAGGTCTTTCTTGCTAGGGCTGGCCCAGGGGAAGCAGGGCATTTTGCCCTGAGAGGATGGGAGGCCATGGACTCAAGGACTGGAGTCAGTCCTACTGCACACCTGGGTTCTGTGGGCCATCAATCCACACATCTGAAGCCTAGGCTCTCTCTGGGGGTCTGCTGTCTACGCAAACCCTTGTTTTACCTTTATTGAGGACTGTGAGAGGCTTCCGGTTGCTGGGGTCCAGACTGCTGGGAGCAATTGAAAACCGTGGTGCAATGGTGAGGCAGGTGATGGGGAGCCGGGCGGGGATATAGCCAGAAGTAAAAAACTCGTCATTGAGCAGCTCGTGAATGGTTGGGCGGGCAGTAGGATCTGTCTGAAGCATCTTCTGGATGAGGGAGGCGGCCACAGGGTTGATGTGCTAGAGCAGAGAGGGACAGCTGTAAGCAGGAGGTGATGGGGGACCCAAGGGCAGCACTGCCATAAAGGAACCGTGGGCCCTGGCCCACATGCATGGCTCCCATATACCATGTTTGGTGGCCACATATCTACCAGGTGCCCCACTGTTGGCTTTGCTGAGTTGACAAGTGTCAACCTAAGTTGTGAGAATGATCACTTCTCCTTCCTTTTGAGACTCAATTTTAATGTGATTTCCCCTGAATTTTTTCTCGCATAATTTAAGTTGCTCACCACTAGAGTAGTACTTGAGAATGTAGGCTGTGAGGTCATAAAGACCTGGTTTAAGTCCCTGTTCCGTCCCTAATACCAGCTAGGACAAGTGACCTGACTTTCTAGGGCCTTTGTATCTTCATCTAGAAAATGAGACGACATAGCACCGAGCCTGAGCCCTGCAGGGTTCAATGGGAGATAACCCAGCACAGGTCAAATGCACAGTGACAGCCTAGCATTAGCTGTGCGCTTACTCTGTGCCAGGACAGTGTTCCAAGCACGTCATGTACACTAGCGTGTTTACCCTTCACATAAAACAAGGGGTGGCAGTCTCTATTACCACCTCTCGTTTGCAGATGAAGAAACTGAACACACGTTAAGTGCCTTTCCTAAGAATACACACCTAATGAGTGGTGAAGCCAGCTCGCTCACCCACTCTGAACCATCTGAACCCTTCAGAATCTGCCCATCGGACAGTTAAGTGATCCTCTGTGACAGATTTCACCTCTCTGCCCTTATGGAGATGGGGCTCTTGATTTCACACGAGTCAAGGATCCCAAACTGGAAAGCAGCCATGAGTCGGGCTTCTGCAGAAACAGGCTACTCCTTTCAATGCGCTGACAGCAGTGGTTGTGAAAAGGCACACCACTCTGGATTCACAGTGGTTCAGGATTCTGTGAGCACTTAGTGTATACGAGGCGCTCTGCGAGCCGCTCCAGGGGTAGTAACTCCACTTTATAAGTGGGAAACTGGAAGCCAAAAGATTCAGGCCATTTGCCCACTGTGATCTGGCTGCCACGTGGCAGAGACCAGTTAACTCGAGAAGGTCCACTTCTAAGGCTGAAGTGGCACTTCTACGTCTGCCTCCTGCTCTTCCCCACCCCACCTTTTTTTGCTCTTTACACATTTTGGGTTATATACCCAAACTCTAAGGATCTACAAATCCTCTCCCCTTACAATAAATGCTTTTGTGCACACCTATCAAGTTCTGTATGTTATTTCAGACACAGATCCACTAAAGCTCTGTGGCTCCCCTAGCAGTGGGGTTGACCTATCGCTAGCCCCGGGGTATGATTAGGCTCAGTAAGCAGCTTTTTGGGGGAAAACAAAACAAATTTAAACTTCAAGTGTTTTTAGTCACCTTGGGAATACTGTAGTCATTTTTCTTGATCCGGAGGTAAGTCTCTTTTAGGCAAGATGTCTCAAAAGGTGGTTTGCCCACTAGCAAGGTATACCTGTAAAAGCACAAGGTGGGTAGATTTGGCTCAAGGCTCGCAGCCAAAACCTAGATGCCAGAGGAATCATCTCAGGGCCAGAAGGGAGGCCGGGCATCTGGAAATTCTGACCTTCGGGCCCCTGAGGACAATCCTCAAGCCCACAGGAGCCAGGATATGGGCCGGGGTGAGCCCTCAGAAGACCGGTGATAGCAATAGTGACTTTTCAACTATAGCTTGTGGTAACCCGGGGCCCCAGAAGCTGCCGGCCAGTACAAATCAGGTCCAAGTGCGTGGGCTACCTTCCTCTACAGAAGCAGCACCATTTTGATAGTTTTGTATTCAAGGCCTGGAGCTTTCAGTCGAAAAAGCTCCACTGCAAATAAGTATGAAAGCCATTGCTACAACTCATTTCTAGCTCTCCAGTACTCAGATCAACAACAATAAAAAAGAGAATACCCGAAGGGCCCAACCCTCTACCCACTGCCCAGCCACCTCAGAAGGCCTCGATCCAGATAGACTACAGGAACCTCCTTCTGTCAGCTCTATTCCTGACCTAAGTCCTCCCTCCCAGGGCTGCTTTCTAGATTGGTGCTTCTCAAACTTTACTGCGCATGGGAATCACCCGGGGATCTTGTTAAAATCCGGATTCCGATCCAGTCAGTAGTCTGGGTCCTTAGATTCTGCATTTCTAACAAGTTCCTAGGTGATGCTGCTGCTCTGTGGACCACACTTTGAGTAGCAAGGACCTAGAACAGATTTAGGGGGACACCCCCACCCCTCTCCCCCACCTTCCCCAGACACACAGCCCAGGCTGCAGGAATCCTACAAGATAACCTGTGACAAGGAAAGATATGGAAACTGGGCTTTGTTTTGGGGCAATCTGTTCTCTGGAACAGCCTCTCCATAGGCAGAAAGGTCCATAAGGTCAAGTCAGCCAGGTGAGACATCCAAAAGGGCCCTTGCTTAGGCCATGTGGGTCCTGAGACAACTCCCAACTTACATGATGCACCCAATGGACCACACGTCCACCTCGAAACTGTGCCCTTTCTTGCTCAGCACCTCAGGAGCTATGTAATTAGGAGTCCCACACAGGGTCTTCTTGCGTTCCCCGTCATATTCGACCTTGGTTGCCAGTCCAAAATCCCCTGGGACAGAGGGAGGAAGAGGGGGTGCTCAGATGCTAGCCTCTGTCATCTGCCAATGCAGAAAGCTGGTACAGGTTTGAATGTCAAGAACAGGGTCATTTCCCCTTTTGCCCCTATATCTTGTAGGCAGCAGGGCTGCCCAGCCTTCCTCCCACCCTGCTGGCCCAGGGGAGGGGCCTCCTAGGGAGCCTCCTTGCCCCCCCCTTCCTTAGAAAGGAGGGCCCTTCTAGAAGGGAGTTGATGGAAACAGCACAAGTCAAATGCCTTCAAGGATCAAGCAAGTAAAGGTCAGTACTGCTATTTGGCAAGTTTGTGAGGAAATGATAGGGAGTGGTGAGGACTGTGGCAAATCCCAGGGTAGGGTCTAAGGGGAACAGCTGCTTTTCAGCCAGGCAAAGAGCAGCCAGAAGGGATGCTGTCTCAGAACTGCTGGAGCTTCCAACAATATATGTTTAATATGTTTAAGAGGAGTCCAAATCCAAATTTGTATGTCAAGCATCCCAATTTGAAAAATGGAAACTAACTCAAATTCTTCTTTTAAAAAATTACTGCGTAGGAGCACTAAACAATGCGTCTGCAGGATACTGGCCTGTGGCTCTTTATTTTAAATTTCGGTACTAAAGAGGGATTCTAGAAGCAATCAACAGCCCAGACTTCTACCATCCTCTTCCTCCCTCCCTGCCTCCTTCCTATTTTCCCCCTTCCAGCACCTCCTCATTCCCACTTCCGGTGGGGTCAAGCACCCCTTCCGGGTCCAGCACTCACCTATTTTCACCTCCAGATCCTCGTTCAGGAAAAGGTTGCCCAGCTTGAGGTCCCGGTGAATGACCCGGTTTCGGTGCAGGTACTGGCAGCCAAGGACGATCTGCCGAAGATAGTAGCGGGCTTCGGGCTCCGTCAGTGCTTTCCTCCGCTTGTGCAACTCCAGGAGAGACTGGTTGGGGTTAAGAGAGGAGGAATGCGGAGCCGGTAACGATGCACTGGAGAAAGGCAGCCGAGGACGCCCCACCCCCACCCTTATTTCTTCTCCAGGACAGCTACGATCCGTTCTCTCCCCTAAGCCTGGCCACAACCAGGCACAGCACCCCTTCTCCCACTAGCTCTCTCCCAAGCCCCCTACCTGGGATACCTCTTCCAGACCCACTCCTGGAAGCTCAGAGTTCTCAGTATCCCTCCCCAGGCCTTTTCGTAGCAGCAGATCCCTGTCCAGCCGCCTCCCTTCCCGGAAGCTCCTTGGTCTGGCTCCAACTACCCTCTCCCTGACCCAGCCCTACTCCGGAAGCTCCGGGTCTGCAGCACCCCTTACCCGGGACTCCTCCCTTAGCAACTCCGGAAGCCCTTGCGTCCATTGCCAGGATTCTCCTCCGACCTGCGCCTCCCCCACTCCGCTCAACACCTAGCGTCCAGGAGCTGCCTTCCCTAGCAGCAACAGGACTCGAGCGCTACTTAATCGCAACCCCTTCCCCTTGCAGCTCCAAGTGCAAAGCACGCTCTCCTCGAGTCCTTTACAATGCCTAGCCCAAGGTTTCCAGCACCTCTTCTGTAGCAGCTCCGAGCCCCCGGAGCCCCCAACCACGGTCCCCCGGCAGCGACACTCACTCTCCGGCGGCAGAGCTCCAACACCACGAACACGAAGTCGTTGTCCTCGAAAAAGCCGTGGAAGCCTACGATGTGCTGGTGGGCGAGACTGCGGTGAATGGATATCTCCATGGACATCTTCTCCTTCTGGTGAGGCTTGAGCAGCAACGACTTAGGCACGATTTTGCCAGCGAACACCTCCTTAGTGTCGGCGTCCGAGATCTCGAAGCACTTCGCAAAGCCGCCCTTCCCCAGAAAGCGTCCCCGCAGGTAGCGCCGCCGGCTGCGCGGGTCCACTAGGACCTCCGGGATCTCTTTCGCCGGCGGAGCGGCCGCTGGAGCCCCGGGAGCTGCAACTCCGGGGCCCCCGGCTTTCCCTGGGTCGGCTGGTGCCCGCGCCAGCTTCCCTGCAGTTGCCGCCGCACTCATGTTCCTGGAGTTGCTCCGCAAACCTAGCAGAGTCTGGGCAGAGACCTGGCACCGCTTCGCTCCTCCTCGAATTCAAACGCGGCGCCGGGAACGTTACAAGAGCCTGCGCGCCACTGATTGGCCGCGGGGATTTAAAATCCAAACCCGCCCGCCGCGCGGCACGATGGGAGCGCTCTGCACCGCTGCTGCTTTTAAACCCTACCCAGCCCGGGGTAGGAGAGAAACTTGATTGACAGGCACTCGCTGGGCGCAGACACGTGGGATGCCTGGGAAACCGTACACGGCGTGGGGATACAGAAACCCAGCCCGAGGAGAGGGGGAGTTCAGGGCTTCTCCCCTTCTCGACGGCCAGGGAGGTTCCTGCAGTTCCCATGCACCTCCTCCAGGAAGCTTTTCCTAACACTTTCCTCCACCCCCACCTGCCTTCTAGATTATAGCCTCTGAGAATAGAGACCTGGCAGCGCAGCCTTAAGCACTTGCCTCTGATGTCCTCAGCTCCAAGACACCCCAATAAACTAAAACTCAAGTAAAAACACGGTGCTTGCCAGCTGCTCCTAAGCCCCTCCGGAATATAGAGCAACTCTACTCAAAGCATATATGGTTCAGTGATCACCAGCATCACCATCACCTGGGAGCTTGTTAGAAAGAAAATTTCAAGCCTTACTTACCCCAGACCTCCCGAGTGAGAAAGCTGCCTTTCAGTGTGAATGCCAGGTGATTCCCACACATCCTGATGTTTGAGAAGCACGGTACCAGGCACCCCCACAATGCAAGAAAGTTGTCTGGCTCGCTCATTGCTAGATTTCCCAGAGCCTGAAAGAGTGGACCCTCAGGTCTTTGGTCTGAGGAGGGATGGCTGGTTGGCAGAATGCCTGGCAAGCTGGTAGGCCAAGGCCAAATTGTCCTGCAGGGGTGTTGTGTTTGGCCTCCCACATTTGAAAACTTGGATTCATTTACAGCACTTAAAACTGAAGAGATCTCACATAAAAATTCAGATTTGTGGCTTTTCCAAAAAAAAGAAAAAAAAGGAAAAAAAGCAAAACAAAACTAGAGGCTCTGACAACTCTATACCCACATACCTTCCCTGTTTGCCGCTGTTCTCAGCCATCTCCCTCTGCCCATTTCCCTGACTTTCGAAAGTACTGGAGTAGCAACCCTAGAACGGCAAAATACCCAGGTTAGAAGCGCTTTCTCTGTGCCCCTTGGCGCCCTATGGTGTCTCTGATAGAGCCCAGCAAATATCAGCCATATTATTGTAAGTATATCTTTACCTGCCTCCCAGTAAATGCAGAAGCAATGATGACATCTTTCCTAGCCCGTGTCCCAAACTCCCAGAGCAATGCCTAGTAAAAAAAGGGGGGGGGGGGGAACTGAAATGTTTGCTGAATAAAAGGAAGGTTTTTTACTTTTACTCTGGTGGTGTGTAATCTCTTTATTGAAGTTTAAGATATGTAGAAAGCGTATATATCATAACTGTACAGCTCAATGAATTTTCACAACTTGAACCCACCCCACATAAACAACACCAGACTGAGAAAGAGAACACTACCAACACCCCAGAAGTCCCCCTTGTTCCTGTTTTGGGAGTCCCCAAAGTGCCCCGCCCCCAAGTTTGATGATTTGTTAGGAGACTCACAAGACTCAGCATATAGTCTTACTGACAGCCGGCTATAATTTACTACGGCAAAAGGCTACAAAGCAAAATCAGCAAACAGAAAAAGGTGCATAGCACAAAGCCCAGGGGAAACCAGGTACAAGCTTCCCAGAGCCTTCTCGCAGTATAGACACAAAGAATACTTAATTCCTCCAGCAATGAGTTATGACAGCAAGTGTGAAGTGTTACTTGCCAGGGAAGCTCCTTAGAGGCTCAGTGCCCAGGGTTTTATACTGCTGGCCCAATAGGCTGGCCAAGTAGACACCCTCTGCCTGGCACATACCAAAATGTTGGATTCCTGGAAGAAAAGCAGGCATTTAGCATAAACCATACTGTCTGCACAGTTTAGGCACAGTGAGCCATTCTTACTATTTAGGTAATGGTGAGAACCCACTCAAAATCCAATTACCCAGATGCCAGCCAAGGGTCAGCCTTGCAAACAAGGAGAGCAGTCTCAGGCTTACTGTGTTAACTCCCTTCTGCGCTGTCCATCCCCTTGGCCCTTGGCCTTGGCTCATGCTTCTTTGCAGCAAATGTATTATCAGTAGGACCCCATGCAAAAAGATGAGCCCAAACTGCAGTGCTGATCTGTTATGCCTGCCAGGGGTCCCGTTAACCATCAAAGTCTACTTTAGATATAATGTTATATGTCAACTATACCTCAATTAAAAAAAGAACAACAGTCTATCTTAGAAAGCCAAGTGGATTCCTCCCTAAACTTCTGTATGATTCATTTTTACCTGGCCCCAGGCACCAATTCAGGTACAGCACAGCTGTGGCCAGTAAGTTCAGGCTGATCTGAAGCCTTCCAGGGCTGAGGCAATGTGGTGACAGGGCACAAAGACATTAGTACAGTCCCAGAGGGCACATGGTCCCACTGGAAATGAGTTTTCAATGTTAGGGTACCTCAAGCAAGACATATGTTAGGCAGTGAAGGGTAACAGGGCCCCCAGTGTAAGCCTCTTAGCACGGTTCTCCCACCCTAGGGCTTCCAGTCCAGTCTGGAAGATCCAGCCAGCCCTTGGTATTGGAAGAGCTGCGTGAAGGCAGTCAGTTCCAAACAATTCTACTTGTCTGTGATACAAGTGTCCCCATCTCATGAGTGTGCATTCTGTGTGGAAGTGCAGGGCCCTGGCCCCCTCTGTCGTCAGAGCCAGGGCTGCCTGGTGTGATCACAGGCTCAGCGGTCTGAACTCAAAGCACTCCAGAGCATGGAAAGGTAGCACTGGAGCTTTCCGTGAGGAAGAGGGGAAAGCTTCCAAGATTATAGATGCCCCCCACCATTTCCCCCAGGCTCTCCAGGTGCCAGGACTTTGCCTTTTCATTGCTACAAAATCTGTAGGCCCCGCTGTTCAGCAACCCAACGACATTCTTCCAATCCCCTCTTAGTCTCCTCCAGGCTTTTTATCTGCAAAGGCTGTATACAAGAGACACAAATACATTTTTGCAGATAAACATTTTTATCTAACTTAACCAGAAAGACAAATTCAGGCATTGGTCAGGATGTGTTACAGGGGTTGAATTGTGTCCCCTCTGCCATTCCTATGTTGAAGCCTTAACCCCCAGTACCTCTGAATTGTGACTCTATTGGGAGATAAGACTTTCAAAGAGCTGATTGAATTAAAATAGAATCACTAGGGTAGGCCCTCATCCAAACTGACGGGTGTCCTTAGAAGAAGAGAAGATCAGGATACAGACAGCACAGAGGGGCGACTATGTCAGGACATGGTGAGAATCTATAAGCCAAGAGAGAGGGCTTGAGAGAACTCAAACCCACCAATACCTTGGTCTAGGACTGCAGGCCTCTAGAACTGTGAGAGCACATATTTCTCTAATTTAAGCCCCCCAGTCTGAGGCATTTTGTTCTGGGAGCCCTGGCAGACTAGTGGAGGATGAAAGCTTGAATTTTCAAAAGTTTCCAAATGGGTGTACATCATCTCCCATTCCTTTTATTCAGTGAACAGCCTAGATCAATCCCTCTTGAGACAGCTATATTCAAATAGTGAACCTACCTTACTAGGTGTGTATGGGGGTGGGAGGGTGCAGTAAGGAAATAGAATCAGGCTATCAGCCCACTGTGGTTAAGCTGCAACTAGTCTAGAAAGTCGAACACAAGTCAACACCAGTGAGACATCCTTGCCAAGAAGGCCCAGAGTCTGATCTTCAACAGCAGGTGGAGGGGTCACAGTCCCTGTGATGTGCCCTCCCCCAACACTGGCAGGGATCACAAATCAGGATGCAGGTAGCCTCCGCATTCGCGACAAAGAGCTGACCGGCAGCTTGATTGTAGATGGTCCCATCAGAGAATAAGCCTTCTCCTGTGGGCATGTGTATGTGGCCCGACGGTCCGGCCAGCATCCACGATGTAGGTTTTCATAATGAGAGCTCTACAGAAGGGGTCCTAAACCTTCAACGGTCCCAGGGTCTGAGTCCTATTCATGGAGCCTGTGTCTGCTTCCAGGTCAGCACAGCTCCTGCTGGGGCTGAAACAGCTCCCAGAGGCCAGTTTTCAGCTTAGTCACATGCAGACTTTTACAATTAGTGAATCTGGGATTCCAAGAGAGCCAGCTGCTTTTCTTTGGCTTCTTGCAGAAAGTCATACTGCAGTACCAGACAGCCATGGTCCAAGTCCAAGTGACAAGCAAGGCTTCCTTTTCATGTTGTCAGTCTGACCCACTCAAAACCATGTACATCATGCTGGCCTGGCATCAGCCTCTAGGCGTTGGACATTTCACCTAGGGCTCACTGGCAGTGCAACTGCTTTTTCAAATTCCAAATGTGCGTTTCCATCCAGAAATTGCTTCTCTTTTCATGTTGTCTCCCCTTCCAGAGGTTCCAACAGACACAAATCATAGCAAAAATCAACAGTTACATGAAAACTTGTTCTGGTTCCAACGCTCAAAGAATTTAAACTCCAACACACCCGCCAGAAGCTGTATCTCACCAACACCTTCTTAATTTTTTTTTTTTTTTTTGCATCTTTCTTTGATTGGGATGATCCCTCTAGCATTTATGAAACTGTGAAGTATGTGACATTTTAAACCAGTTTTACATTTCCAGATACAAGAGCTACAAAATACAAAATCATTTTTAAAAACTTCCCTTTTTTCCTCATTGCAGATTTACTCAAACCCCTAGCAGTAAATTCAGCATCAAGAGAACTGTTAATTACAGGCCTGAAGTGCTAACTCTTTTCTGCAGAGGCAGAAACAACCCCCACCAAGATAAGACTTTTAAGCAATGGAATCAACCAATAATACATTTGAAGGCCACTGAGTACCCACTGCATGTATATTCTATTTATTCCATTTAGAAATGGACACACACTTAAAAGACAAAGCATTGGGCACCTGGGTGGCTCGGTCACTTAAGCATCCGACTTCGGCTCAGGTCATCTCACAACTCATGAATTCGAGCCCCGCATCGGGCTCTGTGCTGACAGCTCGGGAGACTGGAGCCTGCTTTGGATTCTGTGTCTCCCTGTCTCTCTGCCTCTCCCCCCCCATACTCTGTCTCTGTCTCTGAAAAATGAATAAACATACAAAAAAAAGAAAAAAGAAATGACAACGCATTGAAAAAACAGTAATTCGCTTTGACATTTAGCAACTGTTTTCTTTTTCATATTCCCTTCTAGCTCTTGTCAACACGGAGTTTCCATTGATACAGCTGCAGTGATGCCACATTAATACAATCATCTACAGAGCGTCAGTGATACTAACAGTGAGCCCTCACTGAGCACTCTGCATATACCAGGCATGGGGCTAACAGCTTTACGGAGATGATCTCACTGCATCCTCAAAAAGACCTTATTCCCATTTTGAAGATGAGGACACGGGCACTTCCGGATGAGGTTACTGCCCGAGGTCCTGTAGCCAGGGAATTGCAACACAACTCTGCTGACTCCGGAGTACGCCTCATCCTGCCTCTGGGGGCCTTGTCGGTCTGGCCAGCCGCAAATCCCAGACTCACTTGTTCACTCCCTCCTTACCAACAAGCAATACGATATATTGGTTAAACTGAAGAACTCTGGGCTCAAACCCTCCTCCTTACAAGCTGTGTGACATTGGGCAAGTTACTTAACCTCTCTGTGCCTCTATTTCCATGTCTATAAAATGGGGATACTTAAAGTGCCCATCTTCTAGGATTCTATCTGTGATGTGCCCATCTCCAAAGGTTCTTGTAAAGAGCGTCTATGAGGACAGCACTTGAAACACACCGGGGACAGAGTCATGTCAGTTGTTGCTATTATTATTGAAACAAAAAGAACCTGTACCTACTCCCACGGAGCTCAGAGTCTCCAAGAGGCCTTAGAGTTTCTGAGTCTCAGATTTCCTTATTCTCCCCCTCTGGCCCTACTGCTTTTGCGGGCTCTCGCTGTTCCCATGTGAAGTCAGAAAGTGCACTCAGCAGACACCGAAGGTTGAGATGAATACAGCTGAAAAGAGGGATGTTGGTAGGGCCCAGAAAGACCATGGCCGAATGTCTAGACCCAAGGTCTGAAAGCCAGAGAGGGTGTGGACTCCATTCTTGTGTCTCTTCTCTTGGACGATTTTCTTATGCATCGACCACATGTGTGATGCCCAGCAGACTTAAAGATACAGAACAAGCCATCTCCTCTCCTCGGGGAAGCAGGTCGTCCTGCGCTAACTCTTCTTGCTCCAGGGTCTGGGTCAGAGTGCCTAATGAAAAGTAGGTGTGCCCAACTCACCAGCAAAAACTTCAGGAAAACAAAGAATTAACTGCCTGGGCAGCAAGGATGGTCCTCAGCATCAAGTGCCTTGGAGGCTCAGGATACTGGGGGACTGCATAAAACATGGATTCTGGCTCAGTCATTAATTAGCTTTGTGACACTGGGAAAGTTGACTTAACCCTTCTGAAGATGTTTCCTCCTCTGTATAATGAGTTCTAAAAATCCCTAC